AAGGGGCGGCTGCTGAGGAGCTGGAGCGAGGCCACGGTGAGGGAGCCCCGAGGATCCGGCTGGGGAGCCATGGGGAGATGCAACGGGCGATGCACGCTGGTGGGATTCTGCTGCCTGCAGCTGGTAAGGCTCATCGGCATGCCGGGGGTGCTTTGTGCGAGATGCTGCCTGTCACCGCTCCCCACGCCGCCTCGGCGGTGACCTTGTGTTGGGACCAGCTCGGGGATGGCTCATCATCACCCAAAAAAAAACCCACAGCAAAGGAAAAATGCTGATCTGAAAGACAGGCAGTGCCACCCTCATCTGCTGCCTCAAGCCGGCGCTGGCCGGGAGGTGGATGGGGACCCCTTCCCTGCGCTGTCAGTGCCCGAGGTTGCGTCTCCAGCAGGTGTGAGCTTTGTTCCCAACTGCAATCTCTTCCCTCCGAGTTCACTCCCGCCCGCGGTTTCCCATTCTGGTGACTCCACGGATGAATCTCGGGGTGCTGCTCCCCTGAGTCGGGGCGAGAGGGAAACTTGGAGCCGCCGGCAGCACTTTGGAAACTCCGCTGCTCCTGAGCGGGACCCACCTGCCCGCGGTGGGGGCACGGGCTGTGGCAGCAAGGAGAAAGGGGAGGGTTGATTTTCACGGGATTGTGGGGTTGCATTTGGAAGGTTTCGTGACAATTCCGTGCCGCGCTTGCCGCCGCCCGCGAATCAATCTTCATCAGGCTGTGCCCGAGGAGCGGCGAAGGGAGCGCGGGGGGGATCCGGGGGGTTCTGCTCAAACCAGCGAGGTTGCGATTAATTATCCCGGCAGGGTGGTGCGTTAATGGAGAATCAGCCGCCTCCTGCTTGCCCCCGCGGCCCTGCCGGGCGAGGAGAGCAGGGAGGGACTGCTGAAATCTGTGGGGTCAGCTCGTGGTGTCCCCGGGGACGGGGGTGATGGATGGATGGATGGATGGACACGGCGATGGAAACGGGCTCAGAGCCCGCTGGAGATGATGGTGGCATCCTGCTGACAGGCACTTTCTTCCCGGCTCTTGCTCATCCTTCATCCTCCGGAAGGCAGCGAGTGGGGAGGGGTCCCCGTGTTTGGATGGGGGTACACGAGGGGGGGATGGGGGAATGGAGAAGGTTTGAAGCCGGCGCTCAGCCCTGGGAACATCCCCAGGCTGGAGTCCCCCCATGGCCTCCGTGTCCCCAGCTGTCCCCTCGCTCTGGGCTGTGCAGTCTCGCTCGGTGTTTCGCTCACCTGATCCAGGATAAATCCAGCGGGGCTTTTCCAGGTGTGCAGGAGTTTCCTGGCTGTTGGTCACATTCCTTTTCACCACTGGGCTCCCAGGCAGGTTTGGTGGTGATTATTCCCCGAGATATCCCAAATCCGAGAGGTTTTAATCTGTTCATTTCGGGGAAGGCTGAATGGGTGCGAGCTCCTGGGCTGGGAGAGCAGCTCCTGCTCACACCCACAGGAACTTTGTGCTGCTAATTGGGGTCAGGCCGTCCCCTCCACCTTCCCCCCGTGTGTCCTGGTGCTGTTGGCATCCCCAAAGGCCCAATCCTTATCAGGGACCTTCCCCTTCCCTCTCCAGGCTCATCCTGACCCAGCTCATCCTTTGGGATGCTCCCCAGAGCTCCTTCCTGGGTTTGGAGGCAGCAGCTTCCACCCCCGCCATGGGGAGATCCCCCAGCCCTCAGCTCCTCACCCCAAGCTGAGGGGTCTGGGTGCCCACCCATGGCCCTGTGCTGAGCCAGCCCCAGGAGACTGGAGGTGGCAGTGCCACCCAGGTGTCCCCTGGGGTGACCAAGGCCACCCTGAGGTGACACAGCACCTGGGCCAGGCAGAACTGAGGTTTGGGATGGAGCCTCAGGGAGGGGGGATGATCCCTGACCCCATCCCTGCTCCCCTCCCTTGCTCCACCCCAACATGGGGATGGCACGGCAGGCTCGTGTCCCCCCACCCAGCTGGCCCTGGCACCTGTCCTGGGCCCTCTGTCCTGTGGGTGGGGACAGCTGTGTCCCCAGTGTGCCCAGTCAGGGGGCTGGGGTCACACTGGTGTGTGTGGGGCTGCCCAGGGAGGGCACGGCTTAGCTGAGCCCCCTGGCCAGCCTGGGCCCTGCTGTCCCTGCAACAGCAGCGTGGTGACATCCTGAGGTGATGCCACCATTTCTGGCTGATCCTCCCTGCCCAGCCCAGGCACCTTCCCATGGCTCCCTGTGTGCCACTGGCACCCCCTGGGCACCTTCCCATGGCTCCCTGTGTGTCACTGTCACCCTTTGGGCACCTTCCCATGGCTCCCTGTGTGCCAGCCACCTTCCCATGGCTCCCTGTGTGCCACTGTCACCTCACTGCCACCTTCCCATGGCTCCCTGTGTGCTACTGTCACCCCTTGGGCACCTTTCACACCCACCTGGGTCCCCGATATCCATGCCCTGCTCCCTCACCCCCTGGTCCCAGGGATGCTCTGGATGTCCCCAGGTGCAGGTGGCACCCACTGGGCACCAGGTCCCTGATCCAGAGGGGCCCTGCCCAGCCCTGCCTGCTCCAGCCCACCCCTGAGCCAGGTTGGGAAGCTCCTTTTGGGGCTGTGACACCACAGGAGCTGCTTTGGAGCACTCAAACACCCCCCAAGCTCCTTCCCCCCTGGCAGGGCCATGCTGTGAGTGCTGGCTGACCCCAGTCCTGGGGACAAGCAGCACGTGCCACATTTTGCCTCCATTTATGGCTTTTCCCTGAAAAATCCTCTTGCCAAACCCCCACCGGCCGTTGGGGAGGAGCCACCTGCAGATGTTGGTGATAATGAGGTGGGGTCAAACCCAAACCCCGGGGTTTTGCTGGTGTTCCCAGCAGCTGGGAGACACCGACCCCTCTCTGTGCCCCGCGTTTGTGGGATTCACCCTCGCTGTGGGAAATGGGAATGCTGAGGGGTGGGATGGGGCAGGGACCCGGGGTGGCGCTGCCCTGCTCGGGAGCCACAGCGTTTGTTCCTCTGCAGGGGTGGGGACAGCTGGGCTGCTCCTGGGGCTGGGCCAGCCCTGGGGACATGGTACCGGATATTGGGATATTGGGACATCAGGATATCGGGATATTTGGGACATTGGGATATTGGTGTATCAGGACATTAGGATATCAGGACATCAGGACATTGGGATATTGGATATTGGGACATTGGTACATTGGGATATCAGGACATTGGTATATGTGGACATTGGGATATCAGGATATTGAAATATCAAGATATTGGGATATCAGGACATCGGGATATCAGGATGTTGGAATATTGGAATATCAAGATATTGGGATATTAGGACATTGGGATATTGGGATATCAGGATGTTGGGATATTAGGATATTGGAATATCGAGATATCAGGATATTGGGATATCAGGACACCAGGATACCAGAATATCGGGACATCAGGATGTCAGGATATGGGGACATCAGGATATCGGGACACCAGGATATCGGGACATGCACTGCTGGCAGCTGTCAGGCCAGCTCTGTCCAGCTGCTGTCCCATGTCCCTTGGCCACCCCGCTCCGTGCCCCGCGGCCGCGCTCAGG